CAGTACTTGGACCATTATTATTTATTTTATACATAAACGACATAGATATCGGCGTAGACAGTAACATAAGTAAATTTGATGACGACACTAAAATAGGACGTATAATTAAATCTGACGAGGACTCCGCAAAACTACAGAAAAATCTAAACAAATTTTTCATGTGGTCTGAAATATGGCACATGAAATTTAATGTGGACAAATGTAAAGTACTCAGTATAGGAGATGTATACAGGGAAACCAGATACCAGATGAACAACGATGCCATAGAGAAATCCGACTGCGCAGAGAGATTTAGGAGTAATGATAAGTAGGAACCTTAAGCCAAGTAAACAATGTGTTTTTGCTCGAACAAGGCTACAAAGTACTTGGGTTCATAAGTACAAAGGGAGTGTTAGTTACAAGACTAGCGAGGTCATCCTCTAAACTGTATCTTGCTCTTGTGAGACCACACCCGATTTCATTGTTCAGTTCTGGTCACCGTATACAGAATGGATATAGAATCCTTGAAAGAATTCAGAGGAGAATGACAAGACCAATCCCGGGCATTAGGAACCTTGAGTATATAGGCATGGTGGTTAAAGCATCTTTAATTTGCACTCTGAGAGACGTAGAGCGAGGGGCGACCTGATAGAGGTGTATAAGTGGAAGGCAGGGCTAAACAAAGGGGACATTACAAAGGTACTCAAACTATCCAACCAGGAGCGAACTCGTAACAACGGTTTTAAATTAGACAAATTTAGATTTAGGAGTGAAATAGGTAAACACTGGTTTGGAAACAGAGTAATGGATGAATGGAACAAGTTACCAAATATCATCATTAACTCGAATACCCTGAATTGTTTCAAACATAGGTTGGATGCTCATATGAGCAATAGGGGTTGGGTGTAAACGGGACTGCCCAGTATGGGCCAATAGGCCCGCTGCAGTTTCCTCCATTCTTATGTTCTTATGTGATCCTTCTACCAGTGCTTCTTCCCCTTTCCCAATATTTGTGTTATAATCACCCATTATAATCAGACACTCATTAAACTTAATGGTGTCTTTTGCTTTCTTTAAACCTCCATAAAATATTTCTAAAACCTCAACCTCACTATCATTTGTTGGTGTCTAAATATGTATTATTACCAAGTCCTTGGATTTACCATAATACTTGACTACTGTAACAAAACTCTACTGACAGTGCCCAGTATCACTTTACACTATTGTTCAACTTCTGGTTTATGAGAATACCAACACCTGTCTCATGCTTTTCACCATTTGCATGTATGAAATAAAAACCTTCTCCACTAATGCTATTTGAACCTGTACACCTTTCTTCACTAATCTTAAAATATCCCTCTGCAGTCTTTCCATTTCCCAATAAACATTTGAAAACTTCCCACTGTCACGGGAACATGCATATTTTTTATATTTATGTTTATATATAACAGTATTATCTTCGAGCCAGGCTTTTTACTATTCAGACTATGAGATTTTTCTGATGTTGTTGCACCATACCACTTGGCTCACTGTGCTTAAGAACACATGGTGGGTCAGCGAAGGTGTGGCTAGGTATTTCATCACCCACTAGAAGCCTAGGGAATGGCCGCTTCAGTTGCCAGGTTGCAAGTTTGTGTTATTTCCATTTGTTGTTGCTTGTGTTCTCATTGTTATACCATGTATTTTAGCTCATATTAATTACCTATTGCACTCCCATAGATAGTCCTACCTTCTTTCATTAAGACCATGCCTTGTACAGTAGTATATGTAAGTTAGGTAAATTAAATAATGTTCATCTGGCATGTGCCAATAGGTGGAACTTAATATGTCGCCAGTTTGGTATGACCCAGACTGTCTCATCTGTTCCACACGAGCCTTAATGGAGGACACTGTCCTTGTTCCAGCTCTGGTCTGCAGACATGTCTGTCTTGGCCTCTCTCTCTTCTCTGTATGAGCCATGTGACTAAAATTTGTCCTTCCTGTCCTAGGGAATGTTAGGTGGGAAGTCAGTGGTGCTTATGTTGAACTCCCAATTAGGATTTTTTTTTTTAAGGGGATTAGCCCACCCTGGCACAGGTCGAACGACCCACAATGGAGCCTAGAGGGCGAAAAATAAGGGCAAAGAAATTAAAAATAAAGAAGAAAAAGTTTATACTGTGTTAATCTACACCACTAAGATGCCAGAAAACCAGCTTTTTGAAGTGAGACAGATTGTATAAGTATGGAAATACATAAGAAGGCAGAGCATTCCACAGTTTGGATGTGTGAGGAAAGAAGGTTGTACTATAACGGGTTATTCCAGTGTGACCGACATCCACAGAGAAACGGTGGACACCACGGGCAAGATGTGTGTTACGAGCCTACAGTCTTGCCGGTGGTACACCGGATGCCAAATCCACCGAACATTGCCCGTTAAGAGTACCTGTAAAAGAGAGAGTGAAGCAACATTGCGGGAAAAGAAAGATAAGAAAGATTATCAACTAAAGAAGGAGAGTTAATAAGACGAAATGCCTTTGATTCCCCCCTATCTAACAGTTGGACAGAAGAAGAGCCACCCCAGATATGAGAGCAGTACTCCAAGTTAGGACGAATGAATCCCTTATAATATAAGGGATTCATTCAAGTATATAAGGCTTATATACTTGAAGCAACTGCTCAGGAGTGAAGTAGCTACGGCATCTGTACAGCATTCCCAACTTTAGGAAGGCAGCTTTAGCTATGTTGAGGATGTGTGATTTCCATGACTTACTGGAGGAAATGGTGAGGCCTAGCATATCTATTTCAAAATTTAGCAGAATGATAGCATCCTGAAATGTAATTGGAGTGAGATCATCTAATTTAAAGTGTAATTGGTAAATACTGTGTTTTATTACTATTGAATTTAACCAAGTTTCTGCCTCCCCATTCAGAGGTGCACCTATATTATGTCTTGTGCCTTTTATTTGTAACTATATGTAAATAAGGTTTTCTTAGCCCAGGATTTTATTCTTCAGCCATGACTGAGTACAGGGGAACACCAAATGAGTATTTCATGAAGTCTACCCTACTTAGAGCTAGCCATAGCAGTACAGGTATACCATTGTTGTCCAGTTTTGTGTCTTATGGGGTAAGCTTGAGTGAGACGAGGCAATGTGATGCCACCCCCATGTAATGTTCCCACATTCTGTGTTCCTATTTTGATTGTGTGCTTGTTTCTTCTTAAACTTTCTGAGATTGTGTTTAATGTCCAAGGTTTTGTTTTGCTCGAGCAGTACTTGTTAGCTCTCGGCGCCACACTGCCCTCAAGCATGGGAAGCATAGGAACTTTAGGTGACGATGATCCAACAGGAACAACCAAATATCTTTTATTCTGTATGTCCATGATTTGTCAAGATTTGAAATTAATGAGAATGGATGCCCCAAATCTATCCTCGCCAAAAGACTTATTACTAGGGAGAAGAAAAAGTTGGGAATGAACTATGGGGTGTAGAGGTCACCCATAACGCATTCTGGTAAAGAACCAGCCTATCACCTGTGAAGAAGTAAATCTGGTGTTTAGTGACTATTCACTTCCAACCTCCTCATTTAAAGTTACAAGATGGGTACTTGAAAGTGGCTCATACAATCCCCCTCCATGCAAATCCGAGCACTAGATGGAGTTGTACTGGTACCTGATAGCGGAATATCATATTAAAGGAATAATAAATTATGCCAAATGTATCATCACGGCTTAAGTGTAAGAAAAATATAACCATCACAGTCAACGGAGAGTGTGGCAAACCCATATAACTGGGGGCTGATTCACCCATTATTTCATATATTTAAAAACATGCTATATATTAAGATCATAGCAATTTTTGGTCTTGATTTTATTTGGGGGTCAAGCTGCTGAGCAGCCACGACTGCGTTCCTGAGCGTTTTAATACACTTTAAGTCCTAAGTATTGTAGTGGACTTCTCCCCTACAACTGCTTATCCGCATTCCGATGCTACCGTATCCTAGCAACCAAACGAGCGGCGTCACCAGATGTTACCACCTTCCCTAACAACGAACCAAAGACCGGCGACTTTCTCGGGTTTTCCCAACATGACTCATAGATGACTCACAGCTGCTGGGTATATAAGCTCTGTCTCTCCATTGAGATTCATTCAAAACACCAATAAGAAAGATGAAGCGATCTGGTTGAGCCCAGATTCTTTCTACTCCTACTGTATTTCAGTTTCACCACTTTTCCTTCAACTCCTAATAATCTTCTTTCACCTCTTAACTAAAGACTTCGTATCGTATCGTATCGAGATTCATTCTGGTCTCTCTTCTTGAACACGCAACACCTCCTCCTCCGCCGCTGCCTGGCGGCCCTCGCCTCTCCTCCGCCTGCCTGGCGGTCCTCGCTCCCGCCAGCGCTCCCGCCAGCGAGCATGGCGACCCACCAGCTGTCCTTCTCTGAGCTTCCTCACCAACCAGCTCTCATTCTGGCCATTCTACTTGAACACGCAACACCTCCTCCAGCAAGCTCCACGCTGTCCAGCATTCATTCAACCAGGAGGCCAGCAACAGGCAACACCTTCTCTAACGAAGCTCCTGCACATCTACCTCCTTCAACACGCTACTCACCGAACGTCTCTACTGAGCAGTTCCTCACCACACGGCACCTCCAGCACCAGACTGTCTATCATATAACTTATATTATATAAGAAAACCACCTTAGAGTTTCCATCCATCCTGAGTGCTAGACAACATAATATCACGAATTCCTCCAGTATCATTTAAAATATAGTAAGCTCTTAAAGCTAAACCGATAGAAGCGTTGGTACACGGCATACGTGAGTCGACCAACATTTGTATGTTTTCCATCCTGGGCGACTGCTGTCAGACTTGACAAAGGCACAAAATTCAGTCATAAAAAGATAATTTATTGACCAATAAGTTCCACGACATATCTTCATGTCTACGATATGTCGCAAACATTCATTAGATTTCTAGACGGCTTGTCAAGTCAATCAACATATTCGAAGTGTAAACACACCTTTAATGTGTTACAGGCCATGGGTGTGATGGTGGGAGTACTGATGCTTACACTCGCTCAACCTCTTCATCTGCTCAACAAGTCCTACCTGGCCCGGGCACTGACACCTACCTCCAGATCACCTGAATCTAGTTCACTTATGTAAATACAGTATATCAAAGAAGAATTCATGATTTCACATCAAAAGAAAATTTATAAAAATAAAATTTGTATCTTTTGTTTCTATTCTATAAAAATATTAAGTATATCATCAATTACTGTTAATAAAGATATGGTGTTTTATTCATCAACTTATATAATAAATGGTTTGAACTTTCGATCTTTTTCTGTACACCCAATCCTTTCCCTGGTTCCAGTTGCGTTATTATTCTCAAGTAGGTACTGTACCCATTAGTTACTGTGTTTGTTCGTTCCGTTTGTTGGTTGACTGGGCAAAATCCCAAGCACTTTTTGCACGTGGAATTTGAAATTTGGACACCATACTTTAGTGCTTTAACAAAAACTGTTGTTTTTCATTTATTTTGTTATTATCATGGCATGTGGGGCTGTGTGTATTAAATGCACCACTTCTTATTTTTTCATTTTTTTTTTCCATATATCAAACTTGTATCACCGCAAACTCGCTCTTCAGGGAGTCAATACTCCTAGCAATTTGTATATTCCTGAAAAATCGTTATCATTTCATGATATTTAAATATAAATCATTAAACCAAATAAAAATATTTAAATTTATGATGACTGTATTATGATGTTAGGATACTACATATGGTTAGGCGTTATCATAGGTTGCGCTATGACTACTCAGGAAACCCAACTCGAATGCTTGTTTTACGAGAGATGAGACTAGGTGAGGCGTGACTACGTTATCTAGATTCCATTAGTAAGATATGTGAACCAAGCTAAGGGGCCTCATATGACAGTCCTGTATTGTTCATCGTGTCTCACGCCCACTACAACCACATTTTAGCCAGTAGGCCCCAGACACTGAGTTAGTTTAGATCTCCTGCCCTAAGGGAACGGGGCGCTGCACAGAGTCCCTTTACCGCGACACCGTCCTGAGGACTGTCATTGAAAAAAGACTGTGCCAACCCCAAGTCGCCTTATGTAGGTCTTCTGCCGCGACACCGTTGAAATGACTGTCAGTGACATGAGACTATGTATGCCAAGCTTTAGGCAACAAGAGTGATCCAGGCTGATGGAGTGAACCTAAGTGGTTACATTCCCCAATAAAGTGAATGTATCAGTGGAGGAGTTAAGGCTTTGTTAAACTAACTCTTAGTAGTGTAATCAAATATGGGGTCCTCAGGTTGAAAACGCCCTCTTTACAAAATTATTTTTATTATGGCGTAAATGTGATTCATATCTATTGAAACGATGTTGAATTGATTTTACATAAATTTATACCAAAGCCTGAATTTCTATTTTTCTAAAATATATTTTACTATGTGACATCAAATGGTGTAGTAGAAATAAGTTTAGTTATCCCTATGACCAGGGCCGGATTTACCTACTTGTGGGCCCCAGGCCAAACTTATCAGTGGGCCCCCAAATTTATAGAAATGTTTGCATGTTTCAATAATCAATATATATATATATATATATATATATATATATATATATATATATATATATATATATATATATATATATATATATATATATATATATATATATATATATATATATATATATATATATATATATATATATATATATATATATATATATATATATATATATATATATATGTAACCGGTCGGAATTTGCTGGACTTTAATTTCTCACTTGACTTGGGGTTTATTAAAATTTAATAGATGGTAAAGGCAGTGGAAGTGCCCCTTTGAGAAAAATCCCGAACCAGCACAAGAACACTTAAATCTACTACACAAAATGAACTGTCCGTGACCCGTGGAAGGATAGCGTCTGTGACTGGGATGAATGAGACACACTGTAAAATTTAGACACTTATATTCCCTCCAACACTACAAACACAATCAAATAATGGTACACCAATATGCGCACCTCTTAACTTAAACTTTAAACACTACTCTGGGGAATAAAAGTTATACATGACATAGAAATTATTAGAAACACAGGCAACAATAAATTTGAAGTATTAAGAAATGTTGTTTGCACACATGAACAGGCCTTAAGGGCTTTCACAAAATAATATCAGTCACTTAGGAAATGGTACTAAAAAATAAGAAATTAAATACTCAACAATGAATAGGCCTTAAGGGTTCACCAAAACAATATTCAACCCCAAATTAACCCACCATCGAATGAATGGCTAAAAAGTAACCCAAATTGAATTCCTGTTCCCACTGAAGAACAATTTAAAATTACAAAGAACAACACGTCAGATAACAAACCGAGTCCCATCACCAACCGCACCGGGCAAAGAGATAGCCAACGACCGGCGCAACGAGAACCAGCGCCATGCTCAACAGGCTGCTCGGGACATGTGGTGTTGTGCACCGAGTGGTAAGAACTGATCACCCACTGTGGATGCTGGTCCCGTCGTTTTAGTTGTCGGAAGCACTCGTTCACTCAAGAGATCCTTTGCTACCCCGCTAAACAGTGACAGGCCTACACTGATCGGTCCAATGGCGACAATCGCCACCCTCAATCATCAACGGCAGTCTCAAACGGCAGTCAATCTCTCGCAGTCAACTCCGGTCAACTCCAATCAACTCCAGTCAACTCCAGTCAAGTGGGTTCTGACGGAAACCTTGTTATACTGCAATAGCGCAGCACAGGTGACTAGGCCACGTGACTATTTCTGATGGACGCGCGGAACGTCTTGTCTGTGTGAATGCTCTCCGGGACTGGGCCTAGCCAGCGTCGCGTCTCCCCACGGCGTTAGCTTGGTCCTACGTGATATATTTACCGCCTAACTAATAACTCCTTGGGACACCCGTAACATTATTCAGACTGCTAAACGATCTATAATAATTTCAAATTCAATAATAGTCCCTTAACTTCATGAATCGCATCATTATTAATTCGGTAAATCACATTTAATATCATATAGGCCTAGTTCCGCAATCTCTCGCTACGAGCAGGCAGCGCTCCCTCCCCTCAGATGACCTTGAACGCTCAGTATCACTCATGGCGGGGCATTTGAAATTACTCTGAAATTTCTGGATATCACATATATATATATATATATATATATATATATATATATATATATATATATATATATATATATATATATATATATATATATATATATATATATATATATATATATATATATATGCTGATAACCACAAGGAAAAAGAAAACACGAAGTTCCCAAGCGCTTTCGTGTAATTCACATCTATCAGGGGTGAGTACAAACTAAGTAGAAGTTCAGAACAAGTTATATATATATATATATATATATATATATATATATATATATATATATATATATATATATATATATATATATATATATATATATATATATACAGAGGGGGGTGAGATCAAGTCCACAGAGGTCAAGTATAGGTAATGACCCTACTAATCTTCACAAAAGTAGGGTCATTACCTATGCTTGAGTCTTAATAAATGTAGCATATCTAGGAAGAGTTTTTTACTTTTACCTTTATCCTCTTCGCCACTAATCTGCTCATTAGCCGCTTCGACTGTTGGTCACGTCTCTGTTACGCACTGTTGTTGGCAGATACTACTTTTACTTTTTACTTTTATCCTCTTCACCACTGATCGATTCGATAGCCGCTTGGGCGATCGGCCACGTCTCTGATTACTTTTCCTTTTCTTTTATCCTCTTCACCAAAAGATCGGCTCGCTAGCCGCCCGGGCGATCGGTCACGTCTCTGTCACGCACTGTTGGCAAGTACTGGGCATGCACCGGCTCCTGAATGTATCTGAACCCGCTCCAGTGTTGATCAAATCTTGTCTTGAAAGAGCTCACACTCGGTGCCGTCACAACACTTTCTGGTAGATTGTTCCAAGAGTTTACAACCCTCACTCCGAAAAAGTTTGCCCTCACAGTTTTCTGGACTTGCGGCTTCTTCAATCTTGAGCTGTTACCCCTTGTGGGGCGAGCGTCCGCCAGCTCCAAGTAAGGACACTCAACTGAGTAGTGCCCCCTGAGATGCTTATACACCTCAACTAGGTCACCCCTTGCCCGTCTGTAGTATAAGCTAGGCAAGTTCAAGCGCTCCAATCTCTCAGGGTAGCTGAGGTGCCGAAGTGCAGGCACCAATCTGGTGGCCCTCCTTTGAACATTTTCAACCAACTGACAGTCCCTAGCATATCTCGGGGACCAGACGGGGTGACAGTACCCCAGATGGAAAAGCACTTCACTCTTGAAGATCGTTCCGAGGGACGGACCGTCTAGATATCTGAACGACCTTCTTATAAGACCAATAATTTATTTGCCTGATTTACCTTCTTCTCGCAATGGCCCGAGAACTTCAGCTCATTGTCAACATACACACCTATGTCCTTCTCACATTCAGTCTCAACTAGTGCAATTTCTTCATCCCGTTGGGACATATGATACGCCTCCTTACCGTTGATACGCCCCAGGTGCATCCTCTTACACTTCGTGACATTGAATCTCAGCAGCCATTTCTTCGACCATTCTTGGAGCCCACAGAGGTCCTTCTGCAGCTCTTCACAGTCCGCTTGGTTCTTGATTTTCCGAAATAACTTTGCGTCATCAGCAAACATTTGTATGGAGGAGTGGACAACATCAGGCATGTCATTTATGAAACAAACAAACAACAGAAAGGTCCAATACACTGCCCTGAGGTACCCCACTTGTGACAGGTACGGATGACGATTTCGTGCCATTAATCACCACACACTGCTTGTGGTCATGTAGAAAGTCTTCTATCCACGCTAGGACATTTCCCCGAATTCCGTACCCTTCCAGTTTGATTTGCAGTCTTTCGTGGGGTACACTGTCGAAAACCTTGGCAAAATCTAGGTAAATATTGTCGAGATTTCCACACCGTTCCAGAATATGGGTCCAAATATCCAATGCCTTGAGCAATTGTGTTAAGCAGGAGCGCCCCGGCATAAAACCGTGTTGGCAATCCTTTACAAGGTTGTTTCGTAGTAGATGTTCCATTGCGGCGTTTCTGATAATACTCTCAAGTACTTTACATATTATACTGGTCAGGCTCACCGGTCTATAGTTGTTCGTGGGGTGACGATCGCCTTTCTTGAAGATAGGACTCACATAAGCCACTTTCCATTCACTGGGGACCTTTTGTTCATCCAGGCATTTACAAAACAGGATCTTCAGGGGCTCGGCAAGCTCGTTGCACAACTCTCTTAGCACTCTTGGGTGTACTATGTCAGGGCCGGGATTCTTATGGACATTTAGCCTGGACAGTTTATTTCTAATACACTCTTCTGTGAACACAATGTGGGTCAGTGCTGTGTCGAATCGTCTGTCCTCAAACGCAGGAAGGTTAATTGCATCCTTTCTTGTGAACACCGAGGAAAAGAAGCTGTTCAATGCCTCAGCTTTATCCTGGTCAGAATCTGCATAACTACCATCTTCAAGCCTCAGGTCTGATACTCCTACTCACGTTTTCAGTTTCGACTTTTCATAGCGGTAAAACGCCTTTGGGTTTGACTTGACCTCGCTTGCAACCAGCCTCTGGAACTCCTTTTCAGCCCTTCTACACTCTATCTTTGCTTGGTTTCTGGCACTTGCATACATCATCCTGTCCTGCTCATCGTTTGACCCAACCCACGTCTTAAATTTCTGGGTTTTCTTCTTAATTCTGTCGACTGCCGCATGATTCATGTGTAGGGATCCCCTCGTATTCCTAGAGGTACTGGGTTTGGTCTTGGGTATATATTTATCGATCAAATGGGTCACTTTACTAGTTATGATATTCAGCGTAGTGTCTACGTTCTTGTGCCTTAATGAGTCAGGCCAGTTGATACCTCTAATCGCTTCCCTCATCCTGTTGTAATTTCCCTTGTAATATTTGTACCATGGCCTGGCCTTATCCTGAACTAGGTAACAGTTAAATCTGAATCTAATATACTAAAGGACTAGCCGTGTGTCTGTCTGTGTGTGTGTCTGTTCTGGGCGGCCGAAAAGGCACAATCGTTTTTCATCAAACTTGGTGGAAAAATCGCAAAAAAATCGTAGAGTGGAACAAACCTGTTCCCATGTCGATGGTTTCTTTAGGAAGGCATTAATTAACAATTTATCTACGATGAAAAACGATGCAAGTCTACGGACTTGGAACAGAAAATTATCTCTCAGAGTTTCTACAAAAAGAGTAGCAGGGTTACTCAAGTCATTTGGGGTGAACTCGTTTCTCCAGTCGATGTCGCCATAGTTAAAGTCCCCCATGATAAGGAGGTGGCTAGGGTTGAGCATTGCCGCATTGTCTATTAAGGCTTTTAAGTTCCTTTGATTTAGTGTGCCACAGTTTGGGGATCGGTAGATACACCCGACAATAAGTAATTCCCTTCACTTTAGTTTAATTTTACACCACTTGGACTCTTCAAAAACATCCTCTCCCTGTACCCTCGCCTGGCTGGCTCTAAGGTCTTGCCTAGCGTAGATAACCACACCCCTCCTGCAAGATTCTTGAGTTAGGTTCGTAAATGAGTCATATCCAGCAATACTGAACTCACATTCCTCTGGGTCGATTCTCCTGTTCTTGTACAACAGTTCTACAACTCCTACAATATCTGGTTGGTGTACTCTTAGTAGTGTTTCAAACTCCTCTCTCTTATCAAGGAACGTGTCAGTATTAGTGTACATGACATTCAAGCCAGAATTTGTTCTCGGTAACGTCTCTGCTCTTAGTAATAAACCCGCTCCACCCACATTCTCAGAAGCTGCAGCATTTGCTAAGTACACTGTATTTTGCAGGGTGTGGTTAAAAATGTCATTGTTTACACGGCGCTCGTTTTCTCCTGTCCGGTAGGCTGAGCTGGTGCCGCCTCCCGGGTGGGGGGTTGAGTGGGTGGAGGGTGCACTGCTGCCCCCTGGCCCTGTGTCGGCACACTTGTTTCCACTACCCTCCCCCTGAGTATAACCCATGTGCACCTGTCCCCGTTCCTCCTCGACTCCTCCCTCTTCTGCTTCAAGTCAATGACGGCCAGGTGAGGTCTTATATAGCGGGGTTAGGCGTGGCTTGATGGTAGGCCCCCGCTTTGTTCGGCGTCGCTGGTTACCTGACTTTGACCACGAGGAATACGCTGGTAGATTCGCGGGGGGGCCGGCTAGTCAGCAACACACGGCGTTTGTAGGGGAGGAATCCACTACAATATAACCGTAATTTTTCATGAATCCCCTTATATATGAAATACGGTGAACAATTCTGTAAGCGAAACAAATTACCTCTTTTATCATAACTTGAATTTTTTTCTCCTGGCCGCTGCACTAATGTGACTACCAAAGACCGCAGGTACTCCGGTTTCCTCCTGTACTACTAACAGTGGGAAATGAAAGTCTTAACAAAATAATAAAGAACAGACCGACCACTTGAACGATTAGTGTGCTGGTAAGTCATTGATATAACAAACTTAATAAAGAAATTAATTATTAGATTCGATTCATATAATATGAAAATGTAATTTTAGTTACCCTTAAAGATTTAACTTCTCATATAGGAAAACGACAGCCCGTACGTTTTCTCTTACAATGGGATTGTCATTGGAACCAAAGGTACTAGTACGTACCACTGTACCCATTATAGCATACCTGCATTTAGTTACGTATAGGATAACTTGTATTCGTGTTTACTTTTTTATATAAGATTTAGAGATTAATAAGTATTGTCTGTAACTTTTGATAGATACTATAAAGAAAATCGAATGAAAACAATTGATATTTTCAGTCAGTAATTCGAATCTATATAAAAAAATAAGGATGCTACGGAATCATCCCAGTCAAATATCAGTATGCTTATGATTTTTCTAGAAGTATTAAAGGTTAATTAAGCTGTATATAGTGACTAATGTCAACAGTGACGCTTTATGTAACTTGCAGACAAAACCCATGACCCTTCAGGCCTTTTACGCCCTTAATACACGAGTCATAAAGGCAAGTATGAACTCAGCATGCTTCTCAGTTGGGCGCTGTAAACGCTTCTGCGCTTCACCTTGCACAGGATGCAAGGGGGGTGCCCACTAAACTAGCCCCCTCGTGGGCAATCTGTAAATCTGTAATCAACAGTCACGAGGATATTTTAAAAGCAATTAACCGGTAAAATCGAGATATACCTCTGCTTCCACTGAGGATTCACTGTGGTGTAGCGGACTCCGTCCCACCCACACTACCCAGCAGCAGCTGTCTCCTTTTATTCCCTACTTCTCTTGCTTCTTATTTATGGTCTAATGTGACATAAATTCAACGACGCACACACATCAAAGTACTGGAAACGAACGTTGGAGAAAACTCTTACCCGAAGAAATTATTGTGGTTGGACGAAACATTATGACACGGGCGAAGTGCTGTGCGCCTTCGTGTTCGTTATAACCGGTAAAATCCAGTTTTAGGACGCTTGGGGAGTGGACGTGGTGTGGAAAGCTTTGCCAACCCTGGCTCACGTGCACATAGTTGCCACCTGCCACACTAACACGTTTATCTCAATTGATTGTAGTTTGTAATGATGATTTTCAATTGTGCTGTTGCTTTACTAAACTAGCGTTACCTCTAAAAAAATTGTTAAGTATTTTCTCCGTAAAGTTTTAAAACATTTTTATTTTTGTTTTGTTTTATAAATGCGGTTGTCTTCACTCGCATTTCTTTATATGTGGATATCCACAGTATAATATCGAATATTTTCATAGTTCAATATAGTAGTATTTGGGTGGTTGTGAATAAGGATCCCTAGTAACTCTCTCAACCAAGATTAAGGCAACGCTTCCCTTTGGCAACATCGAATCATTACAACAAATACCCCTAAAAATATTCATAAAATCTATCAGATTTTACGTAAATATTTCATGCGGGTAGTAATAGCAAATTTTATGTAAAAGAGTGAATGTAAACTGCATCAAGCAGTTGGAATATATACATGAAAAAAATGGCAAATGGAAACGTGAGCATTGGCACTTGGCAGAGTGGCTCAGTCAGTGTGTAATGTGCAGTGGAAGCGTGAGGGCCCTGTCCATGTGCGTTATGGTTTCTGGTTCTGTTCCATTCCGGATGTTAAGGAAAATATAGAGATTTACACTAAAGGATCTACCCAATAAACTGCTGAAGGTGTGTACCCTATAATATTCATAAAGCTTGAGTTGAGTGGTGAGTCAAGAACCATCTGGTGTGTAAGGAGAGTGAGGGCGAGGTGTGTACCGCCCATACTTCACTTTTCCTGTCAATACTCTTACAGTAATTGTGTCATATCAGTAAACTTAATAACTCAAGTGTGTGGTACTACCTTATCCCTGGTTCCGTAGGGCACACAGGCTGCCCAGGGAAGTAATAAATCATTTAGTTACCCAACAAGACCTTGCCAAAGCTACATGTGCAGATGGTCAAGCGTAACTGATCAAAAATAATTGCTGTGAGCGATCTCTCAACTTTGGTATTTTATACAAATGTTAACATTGTATATATGGCAAAGAAGATTGTACATATTTATAAGATAATATGGTTGAAGATGTTCCCGTGTGTTGAGGAGTTCATATACACCCAGCTGGTGGTACCGGACTCCACATTTTCAAAGGTTCGTCCAATGAATATTCCAGTTAACTGCAGATGTGGAATCCAACGAACTAACTTACGGCAAAGTTTCTGGAATTATGTTTAGAATTAACAAAAAACACCCGGATTTATACCAGTCATTTAATTACGTCCAAATGAAACTAGATAAAATTAAGAAACATTTTCTAAAGGTATTTTACTATAATTGTTCTCTAACATAAGGGAAATAATCCAATGGATATGTGAATCGTCTCGATATAATTTTTATCATTAAATATTAGTTCAGAACAAAGTTATCTAGTTAGGTGCATTTTTACATCTAAAGTCTGTGGAATATTCATTGTTTGAACCATTGTGGCTGTGCCATAATCTCATTGGCTAGTTTACTGTGCCAGCTGACTCTCCCTGGCAAAAGTTGTAAAAAAAAAATCAAAGAAAAACAGAGTTGACCCCATAGTTTAAGGCCCTCTACGGGCGATTTTATTTTGTCTATAACTCAAGTTATTGGGTAGACTGTATATTGGGATATATTGCGTTAGATTTGCTCGGACCCGTTAAGATTCAATTTTAGTTGCTTTAGGTTAGCTTATATTAGATAACGATTAGTTAGGCTATATAAGATACATTTAGTGAGGTTAGCTTTTAGTAGTAATGTTGATCACCTGAAGATTAGCCCTTAGTGTATCCCACTAAAAGTTTTATCACCCAGACGCTAATCTTCAGGCGATCCCGTAAGGCTTTATTGGGTTAGGTTAGCTAATAATAGGTGACATTTGGTTAGGTTAGTCTACTGTATAAAATGTGACGTTTGGTTGAGTTGTCCGGTTACGGCAGCTTAGCTCAGATTAGATTAGATTAGCTCTCGGTGCGATAAGTTAGAATGACTCAAGTTTAGGATATGAGGTTATCTGACGGGTGAGGGAAGAGAGATACATAGTGGCACATGAGGGGTGAGGGAGAAATGGTAGTGGCACTGGTACTTGAGGGGTGAGGGAGAAATGGTAGTGGCACTGGTACTTGAGGGGTGAGGGAGAAATGGTAGTGGCACTGGTACTTGAGGGGTGAGGGAGAAGTGGTAGTGGTACTGGTACTTGAGGGGTGAGGGAGAAGTGGTAGTGGTACTGGTACTTGAGGGGTGAGGGAGAAGTAGTAGTGGTACTGGTACTTGAGGGGTGAGGGAGAAGTAGTAGTGGTACTGGTACTTGAGGGGTGAGGGAGAAGTAGTAGTGGTACTGGTACTTGAGGGGTGAGGGAGAAGTAGTAGTGGTACTGGTACTTGAGGGGTGAGGGAGAAGTAGTAGTGGTACTGGTACTTGAGGGGTGAGGGGCGGGCAGTGTGGACAAACAATCATGTTATTGCTCACTACCTAAAAAAAAAAAAAATCTTTCACACAATCATCCACACTTATAGTTCATATCTTAATCAAGAACTCTCAGTACAGTATATTTCCATTATAAAATAGCAGAAAAAAATCGTATTCAGTTTACATCCCTGGTTTTCTGCTTACTATTGACATGTTGGTAATGCTGTACTGTATACAATATGGTCGTGTCGTAATGCAGCATAATCCAGCTAATTTAAGGAATTAGTATCATTATTATTTTATCATCAAATTTCCTTTAGTCACCAAAGGCTTTTTCAAGCACTATTGAATATATAATTTGTGAATTTTGTGCAAGGTGCAGATATATAGTCTTCATTTTAGAATTCTATTTGATCTCGATTTTCTTTAACTTATCATTACAATCAAATAGAGGATAGAACAAAGAAATTGGTGGGTGTGGTGTCCCTTGAACTATATTAAGATTCATAGTATTTCCAAAAAAAAAATGATATACTGTAGTGTGTTTGTTGAGTAAAATATTAAACAAATACTAATCGTATTTGGTGCAATGGAAAACTAAAAATTCTATCGTAATTTAGAAAGCCTGATAGATATTCTAATGACTGTATTACATGTAGTTAGCCAATTTAAAATTAAATCACATAATTTGATCCCAACTGACTAGTAGTAGTATTCAGTTAAGCCTGGCAGCTAGAAATAGTTGAAAAAGCGGTGGGTGACTCAAAAGGAAATTCGATTATAAAAAAATTTACTGATATAAATTAATTAATCTGGTTGGATTATGCTGTAGTGTTAACATTATATATTGTAAACATTTCAAATAAACAGAAAACCGGGCCCTCGTGCAGGGTAGAGAAAACACATTGTTGTGAAATATAAACTTAGAAAAAGCTAATGAAAAAAATTGTTTTTAATAAAACAAATATGGTTTAAACCAAATGGTTTTTAACCATTCGTTTAAACCAATCCATCCTGGCGAGGGGTGGTATATACTGGTACTTGAAGGATGGATGATAGTAGGACACAAACACATGCTGGGGGCATCTGTTATAGGAGGAGGACACTCTGCCACACAGCCTTGGGCTTAGTGCTTCAGGTTTCCTCCGCTGCTTCAGGTGATAATGCAGTGAGGTGGTGAACGCGGTAATATATGTCAAGGTCACGCAGGTGCTGTCCCAGGTGTTACACACGTGCCGTGTTTTTTGGCCCAACCCAGAGACACACAATACTAAGATACTAAAGTCACGTATCGTATTTATTTTTTTATACTCACTGTTTTCATATCTTGACGCGGACCTATTGTTGTTTTGTTATGCCATGTACAGTATTTGTTCGGACCAAACACACTGCTCTGATGGGCCACATGTTTGTAAACAAGCGTTGTGTGTACTGAATGATTCATATGAATAAATGAATAGTGATTTTTTCTCGATATTGTCGTTAATTTTGTCGTGGTGTAATGGTGGTCAGATGATAGTTTAATGGTGGTCATTTGTTAGTTTAATGGTGGCCAGTTATTATTTTAATGGTGGCCAGTTGTTAGTTTAATGGTAGCCAGTTATTATTTTAATGGTGGCCAGTTGTTAGTTTCATGGTGGCCAGTTGTTAGTTTAATGGTGACCAGTTGTTAGTTTAATGGTGGCCAGTTGTTAGTTTAATGGTGGCCAGTTGTTAGTTTAATGGTGACCAGTTGTTAGTTTAATGGTGACCAGTTGTTAGTTTAATGGTGGGCCAGTTGTTAGTTTAATGGTGACCAGTTGTTAGTTTAATGGTGACCAGTTGTTAGTTTAATGGTGGCCAGTTGTTTAATGGTGACCAGTTGTTGGTTTAATGGTTAAATGGTGACCAGTTGTTAGTTTAATGGTGACCAGTTGTTAGTTTAATGGTGGCCAGTTGTTGGTTTAATGGTGACCGGTTGTTGGTGACCGGTTGTTGTTTAATGGTGACCAGTTGTTAGTTTAATGGTGACCAGTTGTTAGTTTAATGGTGACCGGTTGTTGGTTTAATGGTGGCCCGGTTGTTGGTTTAATGGTGACCAGTTGTTGGTTTAATGGTGACCAGTTGTTGGTTTAATGGTGGCCAGTTGTTAGTTTAATGGTGACCGGTTGTTGGTTTAATGGTGACCGGTTGTTGGTTTGTGGTGGGTTGTTGGTTTAATGGCCAGTTGTTGGTTAATGTTGTTGGTTTAATGGTGGCCAGTTGTTGGTTTAATGGTGACGGTTGTTGGTTTAATGGTGACCAGTTGTTGGTTTAATGGTGACCAGTTGTTGGTTTAATGGTGGCCAGTTGTTGGTTGTTTAATGGTGACCAGTTGTTGGTTTAATGGTGACCAGTTGTTGGTTAATGGTGACCGGTTGTTGGTTGGTTTAATGGTTGACCGGTTGTTAGTTTAATGGTGACCAGTTGTTGGTTTAATGGTGACCAGTTGTTGTTGGTTTAATGGTGGCGTTGTTAGTTTAATGGTGACCAGTTGTTAGTTTAATGGTGGCTTGTTAGTTTTAATGGTGGCCAGTTGTTGGTTTAATGGTGACCAGTTGTTGGTTTAATGGCGACCGGTTGTTGGTTTAATGGTGGCCAGTTGTTGTTTAATGGTGGCCGGTTGTTGGTTTAATGGTGACCAGTTGTTGGTTTAATGGTTGTAATGGTGGCGGTTGTTGTTTAATGGTGACCAGTTGTTGGTTTAATGGTGAATTGTTGTTGGTGGCCAGTTGTGGTGGTGGTGACCGGTTGTTAGTTTAATGGTGGCCAGTTGGCCAGTTGTTAGTTTAATGGTGACCAGTTGTTGGTTTAATGGTGACCGGTTGTTGGTTTTAATGGTGGCCAGTTGTTAGTTTAATGGTGACCAGTTGTTAGTTTAATGGTAGCCAGTTGTTAGTTTAATGGTGACCAGTTGTTAGTTTAATGGTGACCAGTTGTTAGTTTAATGGTGACCAGTTGTTAGTTTAATGGTGACCAGTTGTTAGTTTAATGGTGACCAGTTGTTAGTTTAATGGTGGCCAGTTGTTAGTTTAATGGTGGCCAGTTGTTAGTTTAATGGTGGCCAGTTGTTAGTTTACTGGTGGCCAGTTGTTAGTTTAATGGTGACCAGTTGTTAGTTTAATGGTGCCAGTTGAGTTAGTTTAATGGTGACCAGTTGTTAGTTTAATGGTGACCAGTTGTTAGTTTAATGGTGACCAGTTGTTAGTTTAATGGTGACCAGTTGTTAGTTTAATG